CCTGAAGGATACATCAACATATGATGTTAAATTCAAAACTGAGAAGAACAGAAATGAGATAATATGAAAAAAAGGCAGAAAAGAGCTAAAGACCTGATGGTGTTGTCAGTTCTCAACCGTATCCAGTGAGGAATAGGCCTGTTCTGTCTCATCTTCTTGGCCAACTTCTTCTTGATTATGAAGGTCTTGTGAGACGGCTGCAAACATTAAAGAAAACTCACATCATAAAACACAATCTCCCAAAACAAAACTCAATTGAATATATAACTAAAATACATCGGCAACACAAAAAAATCACTTCCAAGAAGAAACAGTTACCATCTTCGAAATTCAGGATTCGGCCAACAACCGTGACAAATTGCCTGATAAAGGAAGAACCACCATCAACATATAAACCAAATGAAAAAACATAAAGAGAATGAATAATTCAACATTGAAGTCCAGACTGAAAAAGGGAAATTCGTAAACTGAACGATGATAATCAAATGAACGATGATATAGTTAAAATTTGTAAACTGCACGCCAAACTCATGGATTCAGAAACACTGTTTATGAATAAGAGAATTGAAAGATGTCGGAAATTACGAATTGGGCAATAAACTCAAACTAGTACGTACCTTACAAAATTAAGGATTCATACAGTCGAATTGAGTCACTTTATTCTACTCATAGAACTGTTCTATTTGTTCCACTCAAGTTCACAAAACAAAAACAAAAACAAAGAAAACTGCAGTGGTGAAGTATATACATCCTAAATCAATAGTACTTCACTCCCTCCACCGAAAATTCCAGACTTCAAATAATACACAAATGACAAACAGCGCATCAGCTCCACAATGTTCAGATTAATGGCCGACAAACTCGATCTCTAAACAATCAAAAACTGTTTTCTCGCTAGCCTAATAATTCCAAATTCATTCTATAAATCGACAATAAAAGGCATGACACACACAAGTTACAAAAACGTATAGAAATTGTAAGGCGAACAATATCGAACATAACGACTGACAATCCGTGGACCCCTATGATCGTAATATTGGATTCCAGCGTTGTTTCGCTTATATAAAATCCCAAAGAACAAGATTGCATAAATGAAGTAATGAGATTTTCAAGAAATTGAAGTTTTACCGATAAAGAAGCGGAGATAATCAACGGCAAAGAGGAGGAGGAGAAGCAAGATTATAATGAATTAGGGTTCATGAGTATTCATCGAGTTTGGGCATCGAATAAATGGGCCCAGTACATGTCGATTCAAAATGCGAGGCTATTGAATAAATAAGCCTAAATTAATAATAATAAAAAAAACTAAAACTTTGTATTTTATTTTTTTAATTAATAAACTTTAAAAAATGGTTAAAAACAGTGAGGTCGAGTGTTACGAGACGAATGTCTCGAGTGACTTCCTTTGAAATGGGTCTTTCAAGGACAGTGTCTGACGGTACAATGTGCCAACATTGCGCCCCTACCCATATGTTGAAGGTCGAATTGTGCACCCACTATCTGAACGGATTCCATAAATGAACTAGCATGGACACGGGAAGGTGCAATGCGTCGGTAGAACCCATATGGATGAGTGTTCGGGATGTTCCAATGTTAAGAACGCACATGGGCCTATCCTCAATGAGTTAGATCGAGCGAGCTATGATGGTCGATGATATCCCAAGACTTGGGATGACATCAAGACATGATGATTGTGTTAATTGAGAATCAAGAAGACATGATGAGATGCGACGTTGCACATGAGAGACCTTGGCCCTAAGTAGAGGTAAGGTCAAGCCAAATGACTTGGCCTAGTATAGAGGCAAGTTGGTTGGGTCGCAGAAAATTGAACATGCACGCGCAGGCAACGTCTGTGACCGAACAAGCTTGGATTCAAAATAATTTGTGTTCGGTTGGCAAAAGATAAACCTCACCGCTTAGGTTCCTCTCAAGACTTGTCGTGAGTGTGTCAAAATCACGACGTTGCACCATTAAAAATTTACGGTCATGACACATAACTCCACACGCTCCTGTCTACAACCAGTATCATACATCGGTATCATCATCTATCACGGGCTTTAAGATAGGTCTAAAATGTATTGAGGAGCTGTCACCCTCAATTGGTAATCTCTCAGTTTTTCTACAACTTTGTACATGCTTACTACGGAGTGGTAGTTAGAAGCTCTCCTAGTGGTACCTAACAAGCTCCCTATCCCTATTCCATTTCGGGTTCTTGATGGTCCAAGACAAATTATACCGTAAGTGCAACTGGTGCTCCTACACTAGTACCCTATAGTGTCACAAGCCATAAGTGAATGACGTCGCATTCCTATATACTAAGTAGACTCTCACTAGACGAAGTAAGTTCATGATTAGGGTTTGCGCTCTAACCGTCCCTATAACGTATTAGTCAACCCACACAACTATAACTAATCCTAAATGTGGCTCAATGACCTAGGAAAGGTGAATCATAGGCTATTAGAGGGCTTAGGGCCTCGAGTATGCCTAATCGTCGCGCTTTATACTATATCAAGCTGCTAGAGAGTCTAGTAGATGAGTCGTATTTGATCGAGAGCGGGACTTCGAGCTCTGTAACGACCCGCAATAAAAAGAAAAAAGAAAAAAAAAAGAGAGAAAACAGATAATAATAATAGTAAGTAAATAATAGTTTTAAAAAAAAATTTATCCACTCTCCCTCATCCTTCCGGGAATATCTCTCCAACACCTACTGCAACTGCAAAATGATCTGAAAAAAAAAAAAAGAAACGAAGGGAAATATGGGAGAAAGAAACAAAGGAAAGATAGCCAATTTTGGTAGAGAAAAATGGGAGATGATTTCACTTCAAGCAGATTTGATTGGGATGGAAAGAGATAGACGGTAAGTTAGATCTCCTTTTCTTTATCTTTTGCAACAGAATACAGAAAAGAAAAGAAAAGAGAGAGACAGTGGAGGAGGAAAATGGAAGATTCCGTGAGCAGAAGAATTAAAATAAATTAAAAAACAATTTGACAGAGTAAATACATAGAATAAAAAAGAGGATATATATATATATATATATATATATATATATATATATATATATATATATATATATATA